CAGTAGCTGAATAGTGCCACATTAAAGACCACTATAAATAGCAGCTCATCTCATTTATTTTAGGTTGTTGAAATTGAATTAACTCTACCTTCTCTCTACTTTCTCTCTCCAAAAGTTGTAAGAAACTCGCTGTAAGAACTGTAAGTATATCGCAAGTGCCGACCTCGTACGAGAGGCCGACCTCGTGATCGCCTAATAAAATCGTAATCAAACCGAACCGTTCTCCCCCTTTTTTCAGTGGTTCTCAACATTTTTTACTTTTAACCGTTGACCGAAAACGCTCGTCAACACTCTCTGAAAGGGAAAAGACTACTCTGACTCCTTCTAATCCCCCCAACTTTGTCCTGATCACTCAACAGATCATTAAAATCTCCCCCCATAAACCACAAATTACCCCAATGACCTTTCAACCTTCTCAGGGTATCCCACTGTAAGTATCTGATCTCAGAATCAGTACTTAAATAGACAAAGATACCCCAATACTGACAATCACTGCCCACAACACTAAATTAAAGGCATTTTTGAAATAATTAATTAATTATATTTCATGAAAAATAAAATAAAAAAACAGATATACCATAAAAAAATGCCCGACAAATTGACGAACTCGCGTCCTATTAATTAACTTTAAAATCAAAACACCAAATCATCTCTCAAACACATTCTTATCAGTTATTAGTTAGCAAGCAGTGTAATATCAAACATAAACATAATAAGGTATATTAATTAAAAAAAATGCAAACAAAAATAAAATAAAAAAAAAAAAAAAAACTTATCACCCAACCGCGGCCCGATGGGCCGATGGCCTCTCGGGCCTAGAAGAAATGTCGAACTTCTTATCTCCAACCGTAAGGTCTTTCGCCAAAAACGTCTTCGTGTCGTAAATATCCAAGCCCGGTTCTTCATTATTACGGGCCCTATGGTCGACCAACAGGGGATTATTAATCTGGACCGGGACGCTATCATCCAAATAAGACGGGCCGGCCGATGGATAGTCGGCCCAGATTAACGGGCTCTTACCGTTACCATTGTTGGACCTCTTGCCGCTTAAGTACCCATCGCTTATGAACACATCCGCGGATGACCTGTCCATGCTCTGGTGGTGGAGGTCCAGCTGGTCTGGGCCTCCGTATATGTTGAGGTCTTGGAAGGAAGGGAAGTTTGTTGGGCCGGGCCCAATGGGCTGGATCTCTAGGCCCATGGGCTTGTTGAAGTTGACGGCGGCCATGTTCTCGCCGGCGAGTGTTTGGCACGCTTTTTCAAGTATAGTTTGCATGTACTTGCCTTGAGCTTCGATTCTAAGCTGCAGGTGCCTTTGAACCTATAATATTAATATATAGTTAGAATATAAATAATAATACTTAATTAATTAACTAATATTAATTAATTAAATGAAATAATTATTGAATTTTTATTTAATTTGATTGAGAGGGTACGTTACCTCTAGTTGTTCATGAAGTCTCCTATTCACCTCCATTTGCATTCTGATGACCAAAATATTGAATTATATGGTTAAAATTAAAAATTAATTTGTGACACCCAACAAATTAATTAAAAATTAACAATGGATTATATATATCATTTTTAATTTACCAAAAAAATATCCAATTATAAAATACATCAACATGTACAAAATTTAGATTTATATAAATAAAAACTAAAAAAAATGGAAAAATTAATTAATTAATTAATTAATTAGGCAAGAACATATATAATACTCATTCATGCTGCGGCCCATCATTCCAGAAGAAACACTATTTCGTTGAAGCTCTAAAGTTGAAGCTGCCAAATTAATTAAGGTGAATTATTATGTCATAATCAGTTTAAAAAATATATATAACAAAATAAATACAAAAACATAAAAGATTGGAAAATTTATCAATTAGGTAATTAATGCTTTAATTATACAAAAACTTAATTAAAAGATTGCCAAAATATAGAGAAATGCTACGGTCCCGTTACGATACCATCTCGTCGAGTGTTTTAATCGTATCATACGGTTAAAACACCCGACCGGATGGTACCGTAACATTTCCCCAAAATATTCACCTCTCTCCCCATCCTTCATTGAATGATGATCATTGAATTCTTTGTGTGGCTGCTTCCCAAGCCTAAATTTCTGATACACACACATATATATACACACACACAAAATAAAAATCAATTTAAATCATAACAACCCTAACTCAATAAATAAACAAATAACAACAAAAAATTTTTTTAAAAAAAAGCAAGATATAAGAAATAACATCAAATACCTGAAGATGACTCTTGAGATGATAAAGAGTCAAACCCTTGACCCCCATAACCCTCATAATAGTCTTTGGTGTAGCCTCTATAATTAATTAAGAACAAGAAAAACACAAAATTAAAAAAATAAAAAAAAATATGAAACTGCATAAACAAAAAACACTATTTACTCACTATCAGGGCCTCCGAGCTGCGTAACAGCATCGACAAAACGTTCATGGAGCTCGACTGTCCATCTGAGACGAGGCTTTGGGTCGGTGGTGAGGACGAGCCCCGAGTCGCCCTGAATACACATCGGCGGCGGCCGGTCGTGTGAGCTCATGGTTGATTGAGCCTTCTTTTGATGATGGAACATTAATTCTCTGCTTATCTCTCTATCCTAATTTTCTTTTCTCTCTGTAGAGGCTCTGCGGTGGAATACTGACAGATTCAAGAACAAATGCGAAGCGTATTTATGAGAGAATAGAATAGGGTGCTGTTTAATTTTCGTTTGGAGAGGTGGAGAGATAAATCAAAAAGTACGTACGGCTTTTTTTTTGTGTGTGTGTGTGTTTAATAGAGTTGATTGCAAATGGAGTTGGAAGAGTCATTGTTGATCATTCTTTTGGCATAGATTAGAATGGCTAATTAAATTCTAGTACTTCTTTTATTAATGAAGTTTTTAGAAAAAAAAATATATCAAACGACGCAATACACCTTGGGTCGCTACGGAAATAACTTATTTGTATACAGTGGCGAAACCAGCCGGTCATCGCGGGGAGGGCTCAATTTGCCGCGGCGCACCATCCCCACTCCGGCCATCCCGCGGCGCACCACTTCCACTCCGGCATCGGAATGACATTCAAAGGGCTTTTGTGGACGCTCTCAAAAATTTTCGCAGAGATATAAAAGAATAATCTAGAGATTTTTCTAAAAATCAAACTAAGTCCGAAATTAAACTGGTATACTTAAACTGAATTGTTTTAACTCAAAAAATACTCGAATTTATACAAAAAAAAATATCGGACTCAATTATAAAAATAATCAAGAATTATACCTCCTTTCGAATAGACGAAAAGCTGAAAAAATTGAGAAAACGAAGCCTCGAACGATCGAACTCGGCCTCGACAAGTATGCTCCTTTTGATACTATTTAACGCAGAAATTCAAACTCCCATAATAAATGCTCAGAACTCCAAAAAATACGAAATTTATCTGTATGGAATCATGCTTGAATTGTCTACACGCTCCAACTCGATTCTCGTTAAACCGAGGTGACACGCAACCTTACGGAACCCTGCAAAACGGCTTTTTATTCTTCTATTATGCGCACTTGACTTCGAGCTTCTCAAAATAAATGCTCGAAACTTTGAAACGTGAAATAAATTTTACGAACGGTTTCTACTGGTTTCGTGCTTTCAAGAAAGCACTCCCGCTAATTTTCAGCACGCCTAACGAGGGCTGACGGTTACCCGAAGCCTAGGCATGAAAATGGTAATAAAATTATCGCCACTGCCATTTTTCTCTTAACTTCGAGCTACCCAAAATAAATGGTCGGGACCTTAAAATCATAAATCGATGTCACCAACAAACTCTCCGCTTCCCGTACTTTCATAAAAGTATTTTTCGGTAATGATCGACTCGATTTTTGAGTCTCATCGATACACCGCAAGTCGGCTAATTAACCAACTCAAAATATAATAAAATAAAAAAATTATTAAATTCTGCTGTTGTTATAGTTCTTCTTGTCCCGAAACCGGTGGCGCCCCTCCGGCCATGTATGTACCGCATGAAATCGGGGAGGGCCCAACATGCGTGCTCAAAGAAAAATCTTCCAATTACAGCAAAATCCTCTACCCCTAGTTTAAGTTTTTTTTTTTTGGAGGGGCCAGTGCCACTCCAACTCTACACATAGTTTCGCCCCTGTTTGTATAATTAATTACAAGGATAATGTCTGCGTACAACTGACCCTCAAAACCCCAACCAGTTTAGAATATACTGGGTATGTTGTTGTTGTTGTTGTTTAGTAGAGTTCAAATACGTATAATGAGATATAATGTTAAAGCTTAGGGAGATGCTACAGTCCTGTTACGGAATTATTTCGTCGGGGTTTGGAACCGTTAGATCATCATGTAACCGTCGGGGATAGTTGATCTAACGGTTACAAACCCGACAAGAATAGTTGATCTAACGGTTACAAACCTTGACGGAATGGTTTTGTAACGGGATCGTAGCATTTCCCTAAAACTTAAGCCACAAGTTTAGTTTAATTAAGTTGTTGGTTAATGGGAAATTGCAGTTTTAGTTCAATATGGTTTTTAGCATGTGGTGAAATTATTCCAATGGTAAAATTGTAAAATATATTTTGAATAACTTGGGATAAATGAGAAAAATGTTCGGTAACTTTTAGTTTAAGCCACAATTTGCTCAGTGAACATATTAACATCACCAATATATGCATGCCACATAAGCGGTGGACATATTAACATGTGTCTACCGTAGGTAGATGAGCATTACTGCATATAAGTAATAAGTTATTGGGAGTAATAGTCATCTAGTCCTAATAATTTTAAGTAGTTTGAAACTATAGATGATACATTTAGTAAAAAAAATTGAGATAAATTTGAGACTAGTGCGGTACCCGTGCAATACACAGGCTAATTTTATTTGGGTGATTGGAATAACGTAAAAATCATGAATAGAGTAAAAAAAAAATGTAACTTATATATTATTAAACAGAAAACAACCGATTGTACCAAAAAAAAAAAAAAACATAACTTTGTGTAAACCGAGTCCAACAAAATAAACACTTGACACCTATATATATATTAGGATTCTAAATAGACTTAAATGAATCGATTAAATTATTTAGCAAGATATATATGATATGATTTATACTGATTTTGTGAAAAATTGCATAGCAAATATATAGAGAGTGTAAAACGTCTTTCTTGATAATTCATAGTCTTATTATTTTAAAATTGTAAATTAGTTATCTTAAGGAAGGAAAAAATTGTGTACACAAATATAAAAGTTAAAAATTAAATGTAACAAATAACAGTTTTTAAATAGTCAGGATTGATTATCACTAAAAAAAAAAAGTTTATTTATTTATTTATTTATTTATTTTGGTACAAAAATAAGTTTATTTCTAAAGTGAGATGGTCTCACATGAGAATTGATACAAACAAAGTAGTAAAGGGAAAAATCGCCAGCTCGTAATCTACAAATCTTCCTTTGCCATTAACTGCTAATTATTTTAGTCATAAAGCAAAAGCTTTTGAATTA